TCGAGACCCGAAACGTCAGCTTTCCTGCTCCTCTGATGCTGCCTGGCCTGCTGTGTTCATCCAACTCTACACCAGGCCTGCACTTTACCTTCTCTCGCTCACTAACCATCATTTGGCAATAACACAAACATTAGAAACACCTCAGAATACATATTCCAAAAAAAATCACGTCACGTTGCTTAAGTGTAAGAGCTCATTACTGTTGTGTACTCCTTTAGTCTCTGTCTTCCGTCTGCCTTTGCCTGTTGTCAAGAACAGAATTTATGTATTACCTTTAGTGTCTGTAATCAGTATGTGTGTAAGGACTGTGTGTGTGTTTTCTTATCCTCGGTATGTGTGTCTCAATTAAATAATCATGCAGCAAAGTTTTTATGAGTTTTAAAAATACAAAGGATGTTTATTCTGATAAACTTCCCCTGAATTAAAAACCAGACTTAAAACACGCATTTCTCACACATTTTCATACAGAGCAAGATTTGATACAGTTGAAGATATTATACAATCATCAATTATCATGAACTCAATCACTTTCATGGCAAACCTGTAGTTTCTTGGACAGCTTCAATACATTAAAGGTTGAGGCAAAGGTCTAGTAAAGAAAGGATTCTCAGTGGATTGTGAGATTCGTTTTAGTGAAATTTCTAGTAAGTTGGTTCACAAGTGAACTTGAACTTAGGACAGGTTGGGAGAGTCTATCAGATGTCAAGTTGCTAACTTCAGCAATATTGTTGCTGAAACTGTTGTCATTAATGGAAGCTTGTGCTTGGGTAACAGCCTTCCTGTTTTCTGCTTCAAAAGTTAACAACTACAGCACTCAGTTCATTTATCAGCTGTATGTTTATTGGAATGGACTGTTGTGCCTCTCTGAATTCATGCAAATGTCCCTGGATCTAAACTTGTAATAAACAATATGTATTTTTAAGTCGTAAAGCTCCACTCTATTTTAAACCCCATGCAAATGGTTAATAAGCAATGCTAAATCTCACATAGAATCTGACTGTAACAGTGACCAAGAAGATAATAATCTGTTGAAATGTTTAATAAACACATTTGTGTTCACGTGGAGAACTTCCTTGAATTCCTGATATAACCTCATTGGGATGGAGGCTCCATTGTGTGACTGTAATTTGGTTCATGTATCTGTAGCAAATCTTGCTTGTTAAATACTGTGGGGTTTTGAAGTCCTATTATGCGCTATTGTTTAACAGCACCCTTCTGTTTAGGGAAAGATGTTGAATAGGTCCTTCAGTTTTCCAGGCATTCGGAAATGTCAAGCTGCAAACTAAAGGAAAAGATGATAAACCATGATGAGTTGAATTTTGGGGGAATTGCCTGCAAGTTCGTGTTAAGTGGAGCTTCATGATAGTGAGGAAGCTTCCATGTAACCCAGTTTGGCCTGAAATGAGTTCTATGTCAAATAAAAAGTAC